GGCGAGAGGGCTGCTGCATCTTGGTTTTGTTTAACATAGGGGCCTAAATAATTACCAATACTCGTTTATTGGGGGTTCCTTATTATAGTGTTATAGCTATAGTATAACATGGCCGAAAACCCTATTCTAATTATTAAGGCCCCGAGTAGTTTCTCCATCGCCTGGATGGTTAAAGGTGGCTTAATCTAATCTATCCTGCTATATAGGTTCGTAATTGCCGGTTGTGCATATCGGTTTTGGTCTCGTCGCCAAACCTCGGACACGAACATCTTTCTTTCCTGGCTTTGAGTGTTTCCGACTCAGGATGCACAAGGATGTCGGAAGCAACGGCTGTTTACCGGTCAAGCCTGAAGACCATGCATTCTCCAATCCTGAACCCTCAGCCCGAATGGAACCTCAGGTATTTTCCGATTCGACCTCTGGGGCGCCGAGTGCGAGTGCGCCTTCTATGAGCGAACACGTTACTGCAGCAACGAGCCTCTGCTCCGGACCATGCTACTCGTCAAGTTGCAAACGCAAAAGTGTCTAGTGCTTCTCAAGTTTCAGGCGACGTGTCTGGTCTCAGAATTCCAAAACAGATCTCAGGACCTAGACCCTCAGTGTTTTCTAGGCTCTCTGCACCACGTTCCAAGCCATCAGGCTCGATGAGTCCAGATCCCTCCAGGACGGGCTGACGAAAAGTGCACTGAATACAAGCACTCGGTGGGTCTTTCCACTCCCGTAGTCTGGAGTTCTTGGGTGGGATGGAGTCTAGAGGTGGGAACTACATCTGCCGCACTGACCCCTCAAACCCTCAACCCTAGGAAACTGAATGCAACCATCTGGGCCATTGTCTTTCGGTTCCAGTGTCGGAACCCGACGATGCGGGAGTGGCCCCTGCCATGAGGGTGGCAACACACCAGAAAACCCAACAACAAACCTAACAGCGACTTTTGGAATTCTGTAGAATTACCAATTAAATAGTAGCAATGACTGCCATAATCGCAATTCTGAACGCATCCTTGGACAGGTACGACTACTGACAACAGAAACAGACAGCAGTAGTAGAAACAAGCACAATTATAATGGGAGAACCTCTGCCTGGAAGTCGGAAGACGCTCTATGCATTCAGGTGCTCAAGCTGCACCGCTGTTGGAAGCATCCGCATTTTCCAGCCCTGGACAAGAACAGCAAGCTCCAGTTTTTGTACTTACCGGGCAATAACATTAAGGACGCCTTGTTTCGAGGTGGGTTGTTCAGGGTTGGCTCACATGTTCGGATTGCCTGGGTGCAGGCACTAAGGCTTCGGGCTCGGGGGAAATTCGAAAGAATCTGCCCCTCCTGAGCCCCTATTCAGACCTGCCCCCTCACGGATCACGCAAAGATCTTAAGTAAGTGCTCCAAGGATGCAGAAGTGGTACATGGAGGGTGTGACGATGCTACACCGCATCACTACACCCTGAACCCAAGTCGGTTGAAGGCATTGCTTATCTGATAAAAAGCTTGAGAAGCGTCTCGTGACTCCTGCAGCAGCCTCCTTCATCGGATTCCCTCAAACCTGCAGATCCAAAGAAAAGCGCAAAGACGAGCTTGCAACCGCCAGAGCCAGTCGTCCAGCACTGCCGGCCCTTCCACCCGCAGAGGAGCTTCCACCTCTCAGCAACCTCGTTCACCTCCTGGACTTAAACGTCAAAGAGAACAGTCTTAGCCACCTGCCCAGCTTGGCATCCAATGCCGCGCTTGACCCTAGCCGTGCAAGAACTTCGTTGATTATATTCATATTGTTTGGCAAGGCGAAGCCCAGTCTGGGCATGTAGAAGGATGCAGAAAGTCTATGAGTGCACTTGCATGGCTTCCCGGAGCAACTGAGGAATACATGAATGTGGAACAGAATTTCTTGGAGAAGTTGCCGCCGCTAGACAGGAATCTCCGCTTGAGGAAGCTGTTTGCCGGCTACAACGCCCTCTCGGAGGCTCCCAATCTTCGCGAGAACAGTCAGCTGTCCGTGCTCGACCTGACGCACAACAAGCTGCAAGAGCTGTTGCCTCTGAGCTCGAACCCACGCTTAAAAGGGCTCTTCGTGTCACACAACGGCCTGAAGACACTACCTAGCCTTGAAGGAAATCCGGAGCTGATGGTTCTGACTGCCGAGTGGAACTCGCTGGAAATCCTGCCTCCACTCAACAAGCTTCCGAATCTCCAGATAATCAAGCTTTTCGGAAATTTTCTCAAGAAGCTCCCCAGTCTGGACGCGAGCACTGATCTGGAGTTTTTGGAAGTCGGCATGAACAAGCTGGTGCAACTTCCCTCCCTGCAAATGGCGGACACCCTGAGCGTGCTTGGTGCATCGCAGAACGCGTTGCAGGAGCTCCCTCCGCTGAACCCGAATGCAAGGCTGGTGTCACTCGGTTTGAGCTTCAATACACTGCGACAGCTGGATTTCCGCCAACCTCAGTTTCAGTCGCTCTCCTCCGTCGATGCCGGCCACAATAAGTTGGAACAGGTGCGGGCGTTGGTCGTGGTTTGCACCCGGCTGTTTTTTTGTACTCGCAATTGCAAGCACAGCTGCAGCAATAGTACCAGCAGTAGCAGTACTGGTCATCGTCGGTGTCGCTGTCGCAGTCATAGCTTAGTTGTAGTAGCAGTAGCAGTAGTAAGCAGTCATAGTAGCCCCCAGAGGCTCCAACATCCCTCAGTTAGGGAATATACTTTAATTCATAGTAGGGATGCTACTATAATTTAAGGTGTGTACCCTAATCAAGGGATATTGGAGTCTTTGGGTCAGTAGTCGCTGTCGTCGTGCTCATGGTAGTAGACGTGGTAGCAATTGTAGCCACAAAGACGACGGCAGCAGTAACGACGAAGGACTGGTGGAGGATGAGGGATAAACTCCAGCCGTGATACCTCCTACCTCGCAGCTCGAGATCCGAATCCTGTGCGTGCAGCTTAGCCTAGATGGTGCCACCGACCAGGTCTACGGATTGCAAAACCTGGATTCGCTGAAGGAGCAACTTTCGAGACACCGTCCTATTCAGAACAGTAGAGACACCTTAGTCAGGGTCCTTATGACTTGGATCCTACGGTTTATGGACTCAAATTAGGGTCCCCTGCATTGTGAAACTCCTACATGTCGCCAGCATGTGAACTTACTGCAGCATATCTCCCCGACACCTGGACAACAGCGTTTCAAGCTGCTGCCATGCGTGTCCACCAGCCTCAACATCAGAGCAGAAGACAAGCCACTAATCTACTAGCAGCTTGCGGTGCCACCTATGTTGCCTAATATGCATGGAGTTCGAGGTGCTCTGTGTCTGTGATCGGCGGACATGTTGAGAAAGCAGCATCGCTTGATGCTGTAACGTCGGGTTCAAGCCTTGCTAAGTCTTTGATGGTAACTATCGTTGCTTTTTTGCTGTGCTTGAGCTGCCACTATGAAACGATACAAGAGCTATGCTGCAAAGCGAGGCCGCGAGGCCTTTGGAATAGAAACAGCGACAGTGACTTGGGTATGGCACAATCATTGCAGAGGAGCTCAACCTGGCCCAGAACTTCTTACAGCAGCTACCGCCTCTCTCTCGCAAGCTGCAGCACTTGGATGTGGGCTACAACCTGCTGGAGGAACTTCCCGGCTCCTTGGCTTGCAGGCCCCAGCAGCCCACGAGCCTCCCGAAACCGAAATCCCGAGCCCTTCAGGGTGAAAGCGAGGCACAGGGCTCTTAAGATGTCGGATCGCAAGACCTCTGGGTGAAGTGCTTCGCGTTTGGCGGGGTGCGGGGCGGGGGAGGGGGAGCCTGAGCCAAAGCAACTTTTTCCCCCAACTCCCTCAGTGACGGAAATCCTTTTGAAGGGCCCCACAGGATGATGAGCGTGACATCTCTTTGTCAGCTCCTTTTCGGTTCCGGGGTGCAGGCTCGGAGCATTTAGAGGCCTTGCTGAGGTTCCCACCCACCAGTCAACGCAATCCATCGGAGATTCCAGAATCTCACACCCGCGAGCTTTCCACTGCAAATGCCTCATCTTGTAGTCTCATTAAGTTCTATAGACTGCCCTGTCGTGGCAAAGCCTTGGTCTGCAAAAGAAGAGCAAGTACTTGTACTAGTCCTGCGGTTGCTTAGAACTTTACTCTGATTTACCCCGAAACTCTATTCTAATTCTTCAGTCCCTAGAGTAGGTTTGGGCACGGCTTGGCAGCACCAAGCAGGGTCCTCTGGTCGCCATTCGAGGCATCGATGAGTACTCCGGGCTGCGGTATCTTGCAATCAATAACAACCAGCTGCAATGGATCCCAAGCTTGGCGCCCTTGAGAAATCTAGCTTCGCTGTCCGTGCAGTGTAACAACCTGACCGAGCTTTGGGTATTCAACGCGAGCGAACACCTGGAGCAGATTGATGCGCACAATAACTTGCTTTCGTCCCTCGGGCCATTGCCACCTTCCCTTCAACTGCTGGATTTGGAATGGAACCGTTTGCAGAGGCTGCCTGACCTAAGTAGAAGCCCCAAGCTGGAGCGCTTGAATGTGGCTCACAACCTGCTCGAAGATTTGCCTCCTTTGGAAAGTCCCAAGCTCTACATGCTCGACGTATTCGGGAATCGTTTACATGAGCTTCCCTCTTTGGACGCAGTGCCGCGTCTATCTTTCCTGGATGCTGGCGGAAACTACTTGCGGGAGCTGTCTCAGCTGCAGAACTTGTCGTCCCATTTTCATGTACTCTGCGTGGGAGACAATCAGCTTGAGGCGCTACCAGACCTTTCTACCATGCCCTCCCTGCAAGTGCTGGGCTGCGAAGGGAATTCCTTTCGGGAGCGTCCTCGGATTCTAGGACGTTTTTGGAAAGTTCTCCTGGCCTTTTGTCATCGCTGTTCTACGATGTGTTTGCGGGTCGAAGGTGGAGGGTGTCGTGGGAGAATCCCCCCGATCCGTGCTTTATTGTTTATTTTGGGATTGCGTTCGCGATCATTCGGAGTTTGGCGTGAAGGCCCTTCATCCTGGCAATCAGCACACCCCTGGCTTCCAAAGTTTCTGCAAATCTCGACAAGAATCAGCAGTCTCGACAATCCATGTGCCGAAAGCAGAAACACAAAGCCAGCTCACAACCCCAACTTGAACCGTGCCTTCAAAGAGGAAAGAGAGGGTATCTGAAGCAAGTGACCCAGGATTGGCGTTGTGAGATGTGACTGCTGCGAAAATTCTTCCTACCGGCCGAGGCGTCAAGGGAAGCACAACGTGGGACACGCGCCGCAGCACCAAACCCCTGACATGTTTTCTCGATGCAATAGTACTGCGACGGCGCCAGTCGTACAAGTCGTCTTCACTCAGCCCTTCTTCTAGGTTCCTGAGTACCCCTTTGCCCTGTTTATTGTAGAGCCCCCTTCTTAAAACCGAATAGTAGGAAAAAGGGTACCCTCATTATAAAAGGGCTACTCAGAATCCTGGTCTTGCGTCACGGCATTTACGGTTTAGGCTTGGGAAACTGCTCTGCAGCTCCTCAGGGGGCCTCAGCAGCTGAGATACTACAGGGGCCGTAAGAATTACCATGTGGGGGGTTCCTTATTATTATAATAGGGTTTTGGGACCCATTATACTATAGTTACTATAAGTAGAGTACAACGGCTATTCTAATTATTAAGGCTCTGTAGCTTCCTGGGACCAGCCCAGAAGTCTCTCCTACCACAGATGCACCGGAGGTATACCTTCGCACTTGTGCCAGGAGGTGTAGAAGTAAACACCAAATCCTTGTGCTCACACGTCATCTCATACAAGAAGTCTGTCTTTCTCTCGAAGATGTGCGTATGCATCACAGTCCCTTGAGTGAGACCGTGAGCATTGACCTGCAGGAAAAGCTGCCAGCAAAGCACCTCGGCTCCGCCTGAGAGTGCTTGTGCCCTGCCGCGGTATCCCAGCGAGAAGCCCGTGCGAAGTTGACCAAAAAGGATCGGCATGTGCCAAGACGAACTGCAAAGACTGGATTGCGCCGTCCTCCATGGGCGAGCAGGTTGCGAAGGCAGACAAATGCATGTTGTTGGGCTTGCGCGGTGTGCTGCGACGGAACGACTATCGCTAACCATCCGGGCTGAACTGCATGCTTCGTGAAACTAAAGTTCATAACAGATGGTTCTTTAACGAACCCGGGACTGGGGTATTTAATAATCTGCTACACATCACATCATTTCAGACTTGGAGCCTCCGATGGGCTTCTGATTCCATTCACACCCTCGGGATTTGTATCCCCTTCATTGCCAGGCTGTTGACCTGCAGGCTGTCAATCGCAGTTCTGCTCCAGAGCCCCAAGTCCTGCCCCAACTCTTTGATGCCCGTTCCTGCGAAGCAGATCGGAACTCAGAAGAGTGCTGACCCTGAACTGAAAAGCGTGTAAAGCTTGCTAGGTCACTTCGCCTTCCACAGAGTCCTTTCCTTCCGAAGCAAACCCCGACACCCGATACACCCTCAACCCCGAGACCTTTGATCTTCTTCCTGCCATGCGAGAGGGAAAAAACCTTGAAACCGTACTACACCCCAAGCCCCAAAGTCCGCCCAACCCCAAGGCTCGGTGTTGATTGGAGATGGAAAGGAAGAGCTGCTACTGGAGCTGAGGAGGTCCATACCAGAAGGGGCATCGCAGAAAGATTACGGGTTTACACGAGTTTGGGTCCACAGGGGGCGCTTCTCTGGTGGAACAAAGCCCAAACCTTGCGAAGGTTGCTTGCAGCCTCCAGCGTTCGGCACCGCGCTCAGAGTTCATGAAGGTCAGGATTCAGATGCCCTAACATGTCTAAATGAACAGAGCAACTGCAAAGAACGCCGAGGCTAAGCCGACGGTCTGAGGCTGCGATTGGCGCGTAGGACTTCTGGTTCCAAGTTTCGGTTCTGCGGCAAGGGCTTAGGGCTTCTTCATCTAGAGTTTTGGAGGTTTAGGGTGTGCAGTTGTTGATGCTTGAAAGTACACACGGCGTTTTTCGATGGGATAGTTTCGGTCCTGAAGGACGTGGCACCATGGCGAGAGGATGATTCCCCACGGGCCATGACGCTTGATTGAATCTCCAAAATATTGGTCGAGAAGATATCCGGACTATCCGACTATCAACCCAGATTAAAAATTGCGGGTGCTGGCGGTAGGGACTATTGAACGATTCTGTTCTACCTGATTATTGATATTTGAAAAAAGACTTGATCGTAATAGAATACAACTTGACTCGAGATCAAAGAATATTTGATCTAATAACAACTTATTGAAAAAAGACACTCATAAATAAACAAATCGAAATAGATTTTGAAATTATTATATGAACGACTATGATTACATAATCATCTTATCTTTTCTGAAAAAAATGCTCCGCATCAGAAAACTATCTTCTGATAATATGGTTTTGATACTAAACTGGGAAATTCGTTAAGATTATGTATATATATATATGAGAGATACTATATAGTTTTTTGAATAATTTGTTGAATTTCGAAAATAAAAAATCTAGTTTGTTGATGTTTTTTTTCGAAATTTCAACCACTTATTTCAAAAAAAACTCTCTATATAGTTATCTCTGCTCCCCCGATCCTACCATCATAGCCCAGACCCCATTTCATATATATCTACTTACATATAATATATAATAATCGAATTTCCCAGTTTAGTATCAAAACCATATTATCAGAAGATAGTTTTCTGATGCGGAGCATTTTTTTCAGAAAAGATAAGATGATTATGTAATCATAGTCGTTCATATAATAATTTCAAAATCTATTTCGATTTGTTTATTTATGAGTGTCTTTTTTCAATAAGTTGTTATTAGATCAAATATTCTTTGATCTCGAGTCAAGTTGTATTCTATTACGATCAAGTCTTTTTTCAAATATCAATAATCAGGTAGAACAGAATCGTTCAATAGTCCCTACCGCCAGCACCCGCAATTTTTAATCTGGGTTGATAGTCGGATAGTCCGGATATCTTCTCGACCAATATTTTGGAGATTCAATCAAGCGTCATGGCCCGTGGGGAATCATCCTCTCGCCATGGTGCCACGTCCTTCAGGACCGAAACTATCCCATCGAAAAACGCCGTGTGTACTTTCAAGCATCAACAACTGCACACCCTAAACCTCCAAAACTCTAGATGAAGAAGCCCTAAGCCCTTGCCGCAGAACCGAAACTTGGAACCAGAAGTCCTACGCGCCAATCGCAGCCTCAGACCGTCGGCTTAGCCTCGGCGTTCTTTGCAGTTGCTCTGTTCATTTAGACATGTTAGGGCATCTGAATCCTGACCTTCATGAACTCTGAGCGCGGTGCCGAACGCTGGAGGCTGCAAGCAACCTTCGCAAGGTTTGGGCTTTGTTCCACCAGAGAAGCGCCCCCTGTGGACCCAAACTCGTGTAAACCCGTAATCTTTCTGCGATGCCCCTTCTGGTATGGACCTCCTCAGCTCCAGTAGCAGCTCTTCCTTTCCATCTCCAATCAACACCGAGCCTTGGGGTTGGGCGGACTTTGGGGCTTGGGGTGTAGTACGGTTTCAAGGTTTTTTCCCTCTCGCATGGCAGGAAGAAGATCAAAGGTCTCGGGGTTGAGGGTGTATCGGGTGTCGGGGTTTGCTTCGGAAGGAAAGGACTCTGTGGAAGGCGAAGTGACCTAGCAAGCTTTACACGCTTTTCAGTTCAGGGTCAGCACTCTTCTGAGTTCCGATCTGCTTCGCAGGAACGGGCATCAAAGAGTTGGGGCAGGACTTGGGGCTCTGGAGCAGAACTGCGATTGACAGCCTGCAGGTCAACAGCCTGGCAATGAAGGGGATACAAATCCCGAGGGTGTGAATGGAATCAGAAGCCCATCGGAGGCTCCAAGTCTGAAATGATGTGATGTGTAGCAGATTATTAAATACCCCAGTCCCGGGTTCGTTAAAGAACCATCTGTTATGAACTTTAGTTTCACGAAGCATGCAGTTCAGCCCGGATGGTTAGCGATAGTCGTTCCGTCGCAGCACACCGCGCAAGCCCAACAACATGCATTTGTCTGCCTTCGCAACCTGCTCGCCCATGGAGGACGGCGCAATCCAGTCTTTGCAGTTCGTCTTGGCACATGCCGATCCTTTTTGGTCAACTTCGCACGGGCTTCTCGCTGGGATACCGCGGCAGGGCACAAGCACTCTCAGGCGGAGCCGAGGTGCTTTGCTGGCAGCTTTTCCTGCAGGTCAATGCTCACGGTCTCACTCAAGGGACTGTGATGCATACGCACATCTTCGAGAGAAAGACAGACTTCTTGTATGAGATGACGTGTGAGCACAAGGATTTGGTGTTTACTTCTACACCTCCTGGCACAAGTGCGAAGGTATACCTCCGGTGCATCTGTGGTAGGAGAGACTTCTGGGCTGGTCCCAGGAAGCTACAGAGCCTTAATAATTAGAATAGCCGTTGTACTCTACTTATAGTAACTATAGTATAATGGGTCCCAAAACCCTATTATAATAATAAGGAACCCCCCACATGGTAATTCTTACGGCCCCTGTAGTATCTCAGCTGCTGAGGCCCCCTGAGGAGCTGCAGAGCAGTTTCCCAAGCCTAAACCGTAAATGCCGTGACGCAAGACCAGGATTCTGAGTAGCCCTTTTATAATGAGGGTACCCTTTTTCCTACTATTCGGTTTTAAGAAGGGGGCTCTACAATAAACAGGGCAAAGGGGTACTCAGGAACCTAGAAGAAGGGCTGAGTGAAGACGACTTGTACGACTGGCGCCGTCGCAGTACTATTGCATCGAGAAAACATGTCAGGGGTTTGGTGCTGCGGCGCGTGTCCCACGTTGTGCTTCCCTTGACGCCTCGGCCGGTAGGAAGAATTTTCGCAGCAGTCACATCTCACAACGCCAATCCTGGGTCACTTGCTTCAGATACCCTCTCTTTCCTCTTTGAAGGCACGGTTCAAGTTGGGGTTGTGAGCTGGCTTTGTGTTTCTGCTTTCGGCACATGGATTGTCGAGACTGCTGATTCTTGTCGAGATTTGCAGAAACTTTGGAAGCCAGGGGTGTGCTGATTGCCAGGATGAAGGGCCTTCACGCCAAACTCCGAATGATCGCGAACGCAATCCCAAAATAAACAATAAAGCACGGATCGGGGGGATTCTCCCACGACACCCTCCACCTTCGACCCGCAAACACATCGTAGAACAGCGATGACAAAAGGCCAGGAGAACTTTCCAAAAACGTCCTAGAATCCGAGGACGCTCCCGAAAGGAATTCCCTTCGCAGCCCAGCACTTGCAGGGAGGGCATGGTAGAAAGGTCTGGTAGCGCCTCAAGCTGATTGTCTCCCACGCAGAGTACATGAAAATGGGACGACAAGTTCTGCAGCTGAGACAGCTCCCGCAAGTAGTTTCCGCCAGCATCCAGGAAAGATAGACGCGGCACTGCGTCCAAAGAGGGAAGCTCATGTAAACGATTCCCGAATACGTCGAGCATGTAGAGCTTGGGACTTTCCAAAGGAGGCAAATCTTCGAGCAGGTTGTGAGCCACATTCAAGCGCTCCAGCTTGGGGCTTCTACTTAGGTCAGGCAGCCTCTGCAAACGGTTCCATTCCAAATCCAGCAGTTGAAGGGAAGGTGGCAATGGCCCGAGGGACGAAAGCAAGTTATTGTGCGCATCAATCTGCTCCAGGTGTTCGCTCGCGTTGAATACCCAAAGCTCGGTCAGGTTGTTACACTGCACGGACAGCGAAGCTAGATTTCTCAAGGGCGCCAAGCTTGGGATCCATTGCAGCTGGTTGTTATTGATTGCAAGATACCGCAGCCCGGAGTACTCATCGATGCCTCGAATGGCGACCAGAGGACCCTGCTTGGTGCTGCCAAGCCGTGCCCAAACCTACTCTAGGGACTGAAGAATTAGAATAGAGTTTCGGGGTAAATCAGAGTAAAGTTCTAAGCAACCGCAGGACTAGTACAAGTACTTGCTCTTCTTTTGCAGACCAAGGCTTTGCCACGACAGGGCAGTCTATAGAACTTAATGAGACTACAAGATGAGGCATTTGCAGTGGAAAGCTCGCGGGTGTGAGATTCTGGAATCTCCGATGGATTGCGTTGACTGGTGGGTGGGAACCTCAGCAAGGCCTCTAAATGCTCCGAGCCTGCACCCCGGAACCGAAAAGGAGCTGACAAAGAGATGTCACGCTCATCATCCTGTGGGGCCCTTCAAAAGGATTTCCGTCACTGAGGGAGTTGGGGGAAAAAGTTGCTTTGGCTCAGGCTCCCCCTCCCCCGCCCCGCACCCCGCCAAACGCGAAGCACTTCACCCAGAGGTCTTGCGATCCGACATCTTAAGAGCCCTGTGCCTCGCTTTCACCCTGAAGGGCTCGGGATTTCGGTTTCGGGAGGCTCGTGGGCTGCTGGGGCCTGCAAGCCAAGGAGCCGGGAAGTTCCTCCAGCAGGTTGTAGCCCACATCCAAGTGCTGCAGCTTGCGAGAGAGAGGCGGTAGCTGCTGTAAGAAGTTCTGGGCCAGGTTGAGCTCCTCTGCAATGATTGTGCCATACCCAAGTCACTGTCGCTGTTTCTATTCCAAAGGCCTCGCGGCCTCGCTTTGCAGCATAGCTCTTGTATCGTTTCATAGTGGCAGCTCAAGCACAGCAAAAAAGCAACGATAGTTACCATCAAAGACTTAGCAAGGCTTGAACCCGACGTTACAGCATCAAGCGATGCTGCTTTCTCAACATGTCCGCCGATCACAGACACAGAGCACCTCGAACTCCATGCATATTAGGCAACATAGGTGGCACCGCAAGCTGCTAGTAGATTAGTGGCTTGTCTTCTGCTCTGATGTTGAGGCTGGTGGACACGCATGGCAGCAGCTTGAAACGCTGTTGTCCAGGTGTCGGGGAGATATGCTGCAGTAAGTTCACATGCTGGCGACATGTAGGAGTTTCACAATGCAGGGGACCCTAATTTGAGTCCATAAACCGTAGGATCCAAGTCATAAGGACCCTGACTAAGGTGTCTCTACTGTTCTGAATAGGACGGTGTCTCGAAAGTTGCTCCTTCAGCGAATCCAGGTTTTGCAATCCGTAGACCTGGTCGGTGGCACCATCTAGGCTAAGCTGCACGCACAGGATTCGGATCTCGAGCTGCGAGGTAGGAGGTATCACGGCTGGAGTTTATCCCTCATCCTCCACCAGTCCTTCGTCGTTACTGCTGCCGTCGTCTTTGTGGCTACAATTGCTACCACGTCTACTACCATGAGCACGACGACAGCGACTACTGACCCAAAGACTCCAATATCCCTTGATTAGGGTACACACCTTAAATTATAGTAGCATCCCTACTATGAATTAAAGTATATTCCCTAACTGAGGGATGTTGGAGCCTCTGGGGGCTACTATGACTGCTTACTACTGCTACTGCTACTACAACTAAGCTATGACTGCGACAGCGACACCGACGATGACCAGTACTGCTACTGCTGGTACTATTGCTGCAGCTGTGCTTGCAATTGCGAGTACAAAAAAACAGCCGGGTGCAAACCACGACCAACGCCCGCACCTGTTCCAACTTATTGTGGCCGGCATCGACGGAGGAGAGCGACTGAAACTGAGGTTGGCGGAAATCCAGCTGTCGCAGTGTATTGAAGCTCAAACCGAGTGACACCAGCCTTGCATTCGGGTTCAGCGGAGGGAGCTCCTGCAACGCGTTCTGCGATGCACCAAGCACGCTCAGGGTGTCCGCCATTTGCAGGGAGGGAAGTTGCACCAGCTTGTTCATGCCGACTTCCAAAAACTCCAGATCAGTGCTCGCGTCCAGACTGGGGAGCTTCTTGAGAAAATTTCCGAAAAGCTTGATTATCTGGAGATTCGGAAGCTTGTTGAGTGGAGGCAGGATTTCCAGCGAGTTCCACTCGGCAGTCAGAACCATCAGCTCCGGATTTCCTTCAAGGCTAGGTAGTGTCTTCAGGCCGTTGTGTGACACGAAGAGCCCTTTTAAGCGTGGGTTCGAGCTCAGAGGCAACAGCTCTTGCAGCTTGTTGTGCGTCAGGTCGAGCACGGACAGCTGACTGTTCTCGCGAAGATTGGGAGCCTCCGAGAGGGCGTTGTAGCCGGCAAACAGCTTCCTCAAGCGGAGATTCCTGTCTAGCGGCGGCAACTTCTCCAAGAAATTCTGTTCCACATTCATGTATTCCTCAGTTGCTCCGGGAAGCCATGCAAGTGCACTCATAGACTTTCTGCATCCTTCTACATGCCCAGACTGGGCTTCGCCTTGCCAAACAATATGAATATAATCAACGAAGTTCTTGCACGGCTAGGGTCAAGCGCGGCATTGGATGCCAAGCTGGGCAGGTGGCTAAGACTGTTCTCTTTGACGTTTAAGTCCAGGAGGTGAACGAGGTTGCTGAGAGGTGGAAGCTCCTCTGCGGGTGGAAGGGCCGGCAGTGCTGGACGACTGGCTCTGGCGGTTGCAAGCTCGTCTTTGCGCTTTTCTTTGGATCTGCAGGTTTGAGGGAATCCG